AAGTTATAAGAAAACCCCGTTACAAACCCCCATAGCATTCTCGCAGCTGGACGGCTCGGTGGCGGCCGGAGCCCCGGCGCAATTCGAAGTGGGGGAAGTAAGGTGCAAGGTAGGAAACTGGGAAGGCGGCGTAACCTTTGTAGTGTCCCCTATAGCCACTTACAATGTAATACTGGGGATGCCGTGGTTAAAAGAAGCTAACCCCCAGGTCAATTGGAGGAGGGGCAGCATAAGCTTCCAGGACAAAGAGGGGGAGGAGTGCTGCAAGGGGGAAGAAGGCACAGCAGGCGAAGTGAAAGAAATCCCTCCTGAGTATAGAGACTTTGAGGATGTATTTGACGAAAAGGAAGCAGATCAGCTTCCTCCCCCTAGAAGGGTCGAAGTTAAAATTGAACTCAATAAGGACGCCAAGCTGCCCAGAAGTAGGTTATACCCCATGTCAGTCAAGGAGATGGAGGAACTGAGAAAATATGTTGACAAAAACTTGGCCCGAGGGTTCATAAGACCTTCCGAATCACCTTTGGGGGCCCCAGTGCTGTTTAGGCACAAGAAGGATGGATCGTTAAGACTGTGTGTGGACTATAGGGGGCTGAATGCGGTGAGCACAACGAACAATTACCCAATGCCGCTAACCAAAGACTTGCTGTCAAGACTATCAGAGGCAAGGGTGTTCACGAAAATTGACTTAATTGAAGCCTATCATAAGTTGCGGATAAGGCCCGAGGACAGGTGGAAAACGGCGTTCACCTGCGCGTTCGGCCATTTTGAATTTTCCGTCTGCCCCTTCGGGCTAAAAGGCTCTGGATCAGCCTTTATGCAGATGATTAACGAGGTCCTACACCCACTACTGTATCGCGGAGTTTATTGCTTTGTGGACGATGTAATTGTATTTACGCGTGATGAACAATCCCATGTTCAATTGGTAAGGGAGGTACTCCAGAAATTGAGAGAGGCAAAATTGTTTGCAAAACTGTCAAAATGTGAATTCAATAAGAAGCAAATAGACTTCCTGGGGTACCGAATCTCCAAGGGAGGGATAGCAATGGATCCGTCGAAGGTAGAGGATGTCAGGGGGTGGAGCCCTCCCCAAACACGCAAGCAATTGCAATCGTTCCTCGGGTTTGCAAATTTCTATCGGGGTTTCATAGAGAACTTTGCTCAAGTAACTCTACCCCTAACCGAACTGCTAAAAACAAAGGGAAAAGGGGAGACAGTAAAGGTGCGATCCCCTGGAGCGAAATTGAATTGGTCAACAGAGTGCCAAAGGGCTTTTGAAGAATTGAAACGTAGATTCACTGAGGAACCAATCTTAATCCACCCCGACTTGACCAAGCCGTTTGTGATCCATTGCGACGCATCGGATTGGGCTTACGGGGCAGTCCTAATGCAAAGGGATCCAGAAGGGAGGTTGAAACCCTGTGGGTTTATCTCAAAGAAGTTCAGCGAAACTGAACGGAATTGGCCAGTGTGGGAAAAGGAGGCTCTGTCAGTCTTAAGGGCCCTAGAAACGTGGAGGCACTTGTTGGAGGGAAGCGGCATACCCTTTGAAGTGTGGACCGACCATAAAAACTTACAATACCTCACTTCACCCAGGCAATTGTCAGCAAAACAAATCAGGTGGGGCCAGTATTTCAGCAGATTTGATTTTAAATTACGGTTTCATAAGGGGAAGCAAAATGTGATTCGCAGACACGTTGTCAAGAATGCCAGAGGACGGAGGGAGGGGGCAAAGCCCAAAGGGGAGCATATTCTCGGAACAGCAGTGGGGCATGGCAGTGCAGACTCGAGCACAAACGGAGCGCAGTCAAAGGCTGGTGGGGGTTGAGAGCAAGGACGGGGGATGGGAGGCGGAGCTAAGGCAAGCATGCAAGGAGGATGAGTGGCTGGAAGGAAATAAGGAAAAGGTGGAATGGAAAGACGGATTGGGATTTGTAAACAAGAAATTATACATCCCAAGCAACCTAAGGAAAAAAATGATGGTTAGATGCCACGGCAACAAGGGAGCCGGGCACTGGGGAGTGACGAAAACCCTAAAATTGTTGGCACGCCAGTGTTGGTGGCCCGGGATGAGGAGTGACACTAAATCGTATGTGTCCCAATGTAATGCGTGTGCACAAAACAAGACAACCACACAAAAGCCAACGGGGTTGTTGCAAAAGGTGGCAGAGCCATCAAAACCTTGGAGAGTGATTGCTATGGACTTTGTGGGCGAACTCCCAGTCAGCCGAGGTCAGCGCTACATATGGACAGTGATGGACTTATTCTCAAAACAAGCACATTTCATAGCGCTGCCTAAATTACCCTCGGCGGAGAAGTTGGCTGGGCTATTTATCAAACACATCTATAGGCTACATGGCTGTCCGGACCAGGTGATCAGTGATCGAGGGGTGCAATTTACGACCAGGTTCTGGGGAGAGTTCATGCAATTGATGGGAGTAGAGAGAACCTTGAGTTCGGCATTTCATCCCATGACCAATGGGGGGGGTCGAGCGTACACAACAGACGTTGGGGCTATTCCTAAGAACATACACAAATCATTGCCAAACCGATTGGGCTGACTTGCTTCCGTTTGCAGAAATTGCGTACAACGGAGCGTGTCACGCCTCCACAGGGAAGTCCCCATTTGAGATAGTGTACGGTATGGAAGTAACCCCTTTACCCAAGTTACCAAGTTGGGGGGAAGAACCCTGGGGGAAGGAAGGGTGGCCAGACAAGGTAAAAGCAGTTTGGGAGGAAGTGGCGAAATCACTCCAAGAAGCCCAACGAAAGTACAAGCTGTTTGCGGATAGGAAAAGGAGGGAGGGAGACAAATTGGAAGAAGGGGACTTGGTGTGGCTTAGCACGAAAAACCTCAAGCTAAATACCCCCTCTCGGAAATTGTCCCCTAAATACATTGGTCCTTTCAGGATTTCTGACAAAATAAATGAAGTAACATACACATTAAAACTGCCAAAGATTTTGGGAAAGATACACCCAACATTTCATTGTAGCCTATTAAAGAAATACCAGGGCCCGCTAGATAAAGAAGGGACATGATGGTGATATATGTTTCCCTTCCAGGATGAAGAGGAGGAGGAGGGGGACGTCATGTCAGGACTCGGTTTCCTGGCCTTGGAAGGTGGCGCAAAAAACCGGATTCCTGACATGGAGAACTGATAAGGGATTGCAGCTGGTGGCCTTGGGAAGGGAAGTTGGTGGCTTGGCGGGGAATATTGAGCGGGATCCTGGGTTGGCGGGAAGGGGGGATTCGAATGTGGGGAGGGTATATAAAGGGCTGACATGCGTCTGTGTGCCAATCCTGGCTTTCATTCTGTATGCGTATCCAGTAGTAAAAGGTTTCCTGATTGATTACGGACTGGCGTCTTGTGTCTTTTCGGGGAGCGGCTGCTGTGAGCTTACACATATGTGTCAACACCTTCAGAAGCTCCAAGGATACTCTTGGATTAAGAGTAAGGTTTATTTTAGGCCTACAGAAAAGCAAAAAGGAAAAAATAGGCCACATTAATGTGGGTACCAACCTATCTTGTATAGGAAGGACAAATGGTGTATCTTAGAATAATGTTTTATAGTTCACCTTATCCCTACTAGGAGGGTCATCGCTGCATGACCCTCCTAGCCAATGTTGGTCAGGAGAGCTGGGCTTTTGCTTGATCACACCATTTCCTGATTTCTAAACATGGGCATGTGTGCGTTTCAGCCAAAAAGTGACTATCAGTCATGCACTGGCCACTATTTGGGCCATCCAATCATGAAGCAAGGAAGGCAGAAGCCCGAGCATTCCTTGCATAACTCTGCAATCTCTGCACAATGATGTTTTGGAAAAAAAACACAACAAAAGTTTGATTTCCATCTCACACATAAACAGTGCCATTCTCACTTTTGCAGAGGTCCTGCAGAAGGTACTTTACCTGTGTTTTCTAAAAAAAGGGAAATCATCCCATTTTGCAAGCTTTGCAAGTGCTGGTCAATTATCAGTAAACATTTGATTTTATACCCATTTCATATACCTGGGTCACATAAAAACTGCTTAGATTGAAAGAAGTCATGAGGTGAAAGGTTTAAGAAGCTCCTCACCAGAGGCTTCTGTAGACTAAGGGTGTAGAATGAATTGGCACCACTTTAACAGGAATGTCTTGCTGCTATGGAATCATGGCATTTGACATTTGGTAAGGCACCTTCACTCTTTACCAGGGAAGCCTAATGAGAAGGTTAAAGACCTTGTAAAACTACAACTCCCATGATTCCATAACATTGAGCCACGACTGTTAAAGTGGCATCAATCTACATTCATTCTATAGTGTAGATACACCCTAAGTCTACTTATTCAGAAGGTGGATGATATTCCAGCCTAACATAGCTATGTTGAAATACTGTCATCAAAAGCAGAGTTATGCCTTTGATTAGGCAGTTCACTAGGAAACTTTCCTGTCCCTACTTTAAGTTCTGCACTTTATTTTGGGCCTCTTATTCGTATACTTTCAACAATAGTATCCCCAGCCCTCGTTTATTGTTTTTGGCACTTCCATGGGCTTCTTTTTAGGAATTTGGCACATTGAGCCTGTACTCAGCTATATTTCCTTTATCCCAGCCATTTTGTTTTATGATGTTTTTGTTACTGTGTTTGTTTATTATTTTATTGATTGATTTTAATTGTGTTTCTGTTTTTATCTGTAATTTTTGGGCTTGTCCCTCTGTAAGCCGCTCTGAGTCCCCTAGGGGAGATGGTGGTAGGGTATAAAAATAAAGTTATTTATTATTATTATTTTCTTTGTTCATATGTTGCTGAGCCCACAAATAAAATTGAGCATTCTTAGGGACAATAAAGGCAACACCTTTACATAGCAGGCATGATTAAACATATCTGTTACCTAGGATGGCATTATTATTTGGCAGATTAAGACTGGGTTTCCTTTTTCATAAGCCAACAAAGTATTTTGGTCAGGCTGCTATGAAGAGAAAACTGAGGAGTCAGGCAAAGGGTTTGAACTATTTTGAAACAATTCAATATTTTGAGATTTTTTATAAAACGTATCTTTACTAAACACAAACACACACAGGCACATTAAAAATAGATATAAAGGTTAATAATAATAACAACAATCTAGAAAATGCTAATGTAAAGAAAAATAAAATGGAGAGTCAACAGGGTTTAGCATTTAATACCTCTGTTGTTTGCCTCCCAAAGCAACTTCCCCTTGTGAAAACATACATGGGTGGGTCAATTTTTTTGCCTCCTGTGTCATAAAAACAATCAGGTTTATCATCAGTCAATTGCTTGGGAACCCACTTAGCACACACTTTGTGATATCCCAAGTCAGCAATGATTCCTTGGGCAGAGCCATATGAGACGTTCTGAACTGTTAACGCATCTGTCTCCTCAAATCCATTCATCAGCACGTTCTTGATTTGCATCTGTGACTGATGTTGATGGCCGACCGCTACTTGGTTTATCTGCGATTTCCATTTCTCTGTTTTTGAACTTCTTCACACAACGCCGCACATTGCTGATGCCCATTACAGTGTCCCCATAAACATTCTTCAAGCGATGATGGATTTCTTTAGGTGCACAATCTTCTTTTGCCAGAAATTCAATGACTGCTCTTTCTTTTAGCTTCTGATCCATGGTTCTAATCAATCAATCTGAAAAAGAAAAGGCTGTATCAGTAGAGTACCCCTATAACAGAGCCCCCGCTGGCGCAGTGGGTTAAACCCCTGTGCCGGCAGGACTGAAGACCGACAGGTCACAGGTTCGAATCTGGGGAGAGGCGGATGAGCTCCCTCTATCAGCTTCAGCTCCTCATGCGGGGACATGAGAGAAGCCTCCCACAAGGATGATAAAAACATTAAAAAATCATCTGGGCGTCCCCTGGGCAACGTCCTTGCAGACAGCCAATTCTCTCACACCAGAAGTGACTTCTGACACGACCAACCCCCGCCCCCCCAAAACAACAAAGCCCTATAACATCATGCATAGATAGTCCAGGAGCTGTGAAAGAAATAAAAGTTAGAGCGATTAAGGCATTACTTTTTGACCGATGCTGGTGTGTGTAAGTGTGTGTGTATATATATATTACACACTTTCTTTATTTTGAAAAATAACCTACATATGTTTTATTTTCCTTATTTTGACAAGTAACCCATATATGTATACATACAGAGAGAGAAATGACACACATACACAGTGTTATTTGGACAAATAATCTACACATACACACATGTTTACATATTTTACTTATTTTGACATTGAAGTTATCTGTCAAAATAAATAAAGCATGTAAACTTCTACTTAACATGATTTCTACTATTATTCAAGCATGATTTTAAGTATTTTAAAAGCCCAGGGATAGCATGGTACCACTACACTCTATTTCATATTCCGCATTGGGAAGCTGATGAAGAAACACACCATACAAACGATGTACAGGCCCCCTAAGAAAATCCAACAAATGCTACGTTCAGCAAAGGACAAGAGGGATCCTCTCACCTCTGCAGAAGTCTACCGTATACCATGCAGCTGTGGACAAGTCTACATAGAGACCACTAAACGCAGCATTGCCCAAATACGAATCAAGGAACATGAAAGGCACTGCAGACTACTTCAACCAGAGAAGTCAGCCATAGCAGAGCACCCGATGAACCAACCTGGACACAGCATATTATTTGAGAACACAGAAATGTTGGATCACTCACAGTGGTTCTTGACCTGGAGTCCCCAGATGTCAACTCCCAGAAATCCTAACAGCTGGTAAACTGGCAGGGATTTCTGGGAATTGTAGGCCAAAAACATCTGGGGACCCCAGGTTGAGAACCACTGCGAGCAACTACCATGTCAGGCTACACAGAGAAGGCAGTGAAATCCACAAGCATGTGGACAATTTCAACAGAAAGGAAGAAATCATGAAAAGGAACAAAATCTGGCTACCAGTATTTTTTTTAAAACAAAACTTCTAAAATCAGGGCAGTAAATAAAGAGGAACACTCAGAAAACGGGAATTCAACACAATTAACAATTAGGGTTAGCTAACACCTCCCAACAAAGGATTCCCCTGGGCAGGAAGCAGCCAGGCTTTGAAGCTGCAAGGCTATTCAATGCTAATCAAGGTGACGAGTTGCAACATTTATATTTGCCTCAAACAGACGAATTCTTTCTCCCACCCTGGACATCCCATAGATATATAAACCTCACTTGCCTAGTTTCCAACAGACACCTCAACTTCTGAGGATGCCTGCTACAGATGTGGGCGAAACGTCAGGAGAGAATGCTTCTGGAACATGGCCATACAACCCGGAAAACTCACAGCAACCCAATAATTACTACATGTTTTTCAAAATAAGAGATCTCTGTAGCGGTCCTGACTGTAGTCTCTCTCACCTACCTCTCTATGAGTTACCACTAGAGGCCCCTGTGTAAATGTCACCTAACGTCGCTCAGAAGTAAAAGGAAGGAAAAGCACCGAGTATTTCCTTCCTGACAGGACATCACTTCCCGACTCACCACGCCGTGCGCCGGCTGAGGAGGTCGCGCATGCGCACGGCAAACCGCAAACCCTCAATCACACCCCCTTCCCATCCCCCACCAAGAAACTGGCCATACAGAAGCATCCTCTCTCTCTCTCTCTATATATATATATATATATATATACGTGTGTGTGTGTATGCCTAACTCAAAGCACTATGTAACATCCAACGTGATTGGGCAGAAAATGTAGAGGGCGGGTCGGAAAAGGCAAACGACCCTTTTGATTAGCTCGCGGGGGCTTTCTTCCCGCTCCCCCCCGCCCTCACGCGCCGGGTCGTTCCGAAACCTCACGCCGGCGTCCGCGCGGCGCGTGGCCAACCCGTATGACATCACGCGCGTGACGACACCAACCAAACCAAACCACGCCCTCCTCTGACTTCTCTCCCTTTTGCTTTTGGTCCGTTGCTGTAGGAGGAGGAGGAGGGGGGGTGGGGCGCGTGCAGGTAGGGCGTGCCTTCTCCTGTCACGTGACCCCACGCCGAATCCCGAGGACGCCCGCTGGCTCAGTATGCGTCACGTGACAAAGAAATATCTCTCTCTCTCTCTCTCTCTCTCTCTCTCAGAGTGGTGGGAGGAGCCAGAGGAAGCGTCCCTTGCGAGACGGGGAGCGCGTCGCCTCAGACGGGTGACCCCCCGCGCATGCGCAGGCGGCCTTAGCTGTCATCCGCGTACGAAACAACAAGTCCGACTTGGTCGGACGCCACAGCGGCAGCAGGGCCTTGGAAGCTCCGGCGGCACCCTCTCGAGGCACAGGCCGGACAGGTGAGGGCGGAGGAGCGGTGGCCGAGGAAGAGGCTGGGGTTGCCTGGCCTTCCTCCTCCTCTTCGTCCTCTTGAGGGGAAAACAGCCTTGGTGAGGCAGGAGTCACAGGTGGGAGGAGACGCTGAGGAGAGGAGGGAAGCCGGTGGCCCTGGAGATGGATGGAGGGCAGGAAGGGGAGCGGGGAATGTGTGGGCGTGTGTTTAGACCAGGCATGGGCGAACTTGGGCCTTCCAGGTGTGTTGGACTTCAACTCCCACCATTTCTAACAGCCTCAGGCCCCTTCCTTTTCCCCCTCAGCCGCTTAAGCGGAAGGGGCCTGAGGCTGTTAGGAATGGTGGGAGTTGAAGTCCAACACACCTGGAAGGCCCAAGTTCGCCCATGCCTGGTTTATATTATATATATATACCTTATACTCTCACCCAACATATTCAGCTTGTATGCAGAACACATCATACGATGTGTGGGGCTTGAGGAATGCAAGGCTGGGGTGAAAATCGCTGGAAGAAACATTAACAACCTTAGATATGCAGATGACACCACTTTGATGGCCGAAAGCGAGGAGGAGCTGAGGAGCCTTCTAATCAAGGTGAAAGAAGAAAGCGCAATAGCTGGGTTGCAGTTAAACATAAAAAAACCAAGATTATGGCAACAAGAATGATTGACAACTGGCAAATAGAGGGAGAAAATGTGGAGGCAGTGACACACTTTGTCTTTCTAGGTGCAATTATTACTGCAGATGCAGACTGCAGCCAGGAAATCAGGAAACGCTTACTTCTTTGAAGGAGAGCAATGACCAATCTTGATAAAATATTGAAGAGTAGAGACATCACACTGGCAACGAAGATCCGCATAGTCAAAGCTATGGTATTCCCCATAGTAACCTACGGATGTGACAGCTGGACCATAGAGAAGGCTGAGTGAAGGAAGATAGATGCTTTTGAACTGTGGTGCTGGAGAAAAGTTCTGAGAGTGCCTTGGACTGCCAGAAGATCCAACCAGTCCATACTTCAAGAAATAAAGCCTGACTGCTCATTGGAGGGAAGAATAGTAGAGGCTAAGATGAAGTACTTTGGCCACATCATGAGGAGAAAGGAAAGCTTAGAGAAGACAACTATGCTGGGGAAAATGGAAGGAAAAAGGAAGAGGGGCCGACCAAGGACAAGATGGATGGATGGCATCCTTGAAGTGACTGGATTGACCTTGAAGGAGCTGGGGGTGGTGACGACCGACAGGGAGCTCTGGCGTGGACTGGTCCATGAAGTCACGAAGAGTCCAAAATGACTGAATTAATGAACAACAACAATAGATGGGTACTGTGAGGAATTGTGGAAGTTGAAATCCAAAACATCTGGAGGGCTGAAGTTTGCCCATGCCTGCTGTAGATCACCATTAGCCTTAATGCTTTTCTCTTATCGCCTACACCAGTGTTTCTCAACCTGGGGGTCAGGAACCCTGGAGGGGTCGCAAGGGGGTGTCAGAGGGGTCATCAGAGACCATCAGAAAACACAGTATTTTCTGTTGGTCATGGGGTTTCTGTGTGGGAAGTTTGGCCTAATTCTGTCGTTGGTGGGGTTCAGAATGCTCTTTGATTGTAGGTGAACTATACATCTCAGCAACTACAACTCCCAAATGCCAAGGTCTGTTTTCCCCAAACTCCACCAGTGTTCACATTTAGGCATACTGAGTATTCGTGCCAAGTTTGGCCCAGATCTATCATTGTTTGAGTCCACAGTGTTCTCTGGATATAGGTGAACTACAACTCCAAAACTCAAGGTCAATTCCTTCTAGTATTTTCCGTTGACCATGTGAGTTCTCTGTGCCAAGTTTGGTTCAATTCCATTGCTGGTGGAGTTCAGACTGCTCTTTGATTGTAGATGAACTATAAATCCCAGCAACTACAACTCCAAAATGACAAAATCAATCTCCCCCAACCCCACTAGTATTCAAACTTGGGTGTATTGGGTATTTGTGCCAAATTTGGTCCAGTGAATGAAAATATACCCTCCATATCAGATATTTGCATTACGATTCAGAACAGCAGCATAATTACAGTTATGAATTAGCAACGAAAATGATTTTATGTTTGGGGGTCACCACAACATGAGTAATTGTATTAAGGGGTTGAGGCATTAGGAAGGTTGAGAAACACTGGCCTACACGCATCACTCCAGTATTTTAATTTTTGTAGGAGCTGGAGTCCCAAACACCTGGAGGGCTGAAAGTTTGCCCATGCCTGAGATAGGTTCTGTAGGTTTGTTCTTAAATTAAATTTGTATGTAAGTCAGAGCAGGTAATGTTTAAGTATAACTCCAGTCGCAAATATATATTTATATGTATGTGTGGATGTGTATTTTCCGCTGCTCTGGAAACTAGCACACAGAACAATGGTTTCAAACTACAGTAGAGAAGATTCCACCTGAACATCAGGAAGAACTTCCTAACTGGGAGAGCTATTCAATAGTGGAATTCTCTGCCCCAGAGTGTGGTGGAAGCTCCTTCTCTGGAGGCTTTAAAATAGAGGCTGGATGGCCATCTTTCAGGGGTGGTTTGAATGTGATTTTCCTGCTTTTTGGCAGCGGGTTGGATCGGATGGCCCATGAGATCTCTTCCAACTCTATGATTCTATTTGTGTGTGTGTATAGGCTTTGGATAGCATAAGGAAGGGCCAACACCCCTGTGGTGTTTGATTTGCTGTTTGTGCTCCTGTTCAGAAGGTTTCATTACACTGTCTGTCCCTATGATAATTGGACTTTGAAAAATTTGGCTTGTTGTGGAAACAAGGATTGATGAGAAACCTTGATTGGAGACACCTTTTCCCCATGATAACTCTTTCAGGAGTGAATTTCCTTTCCAAGGGGTAGATTTCTCTCACTTCCTGTTGCCTCATCCTTGTTCTTAACTATGAGTCATTTGTAATGTGGATGTTTGTAACTCAGGGACTGCCTGTATTCCAATATTGTCCATGCAGGTGGTTTCAGTGTATGCAAACTTTGTTTAATGTACAAAATTATTTAAGATATTATTTATAAAATGACCTTCAGTCTATGTGTGTAAGGCAGAGCTTTCCAAACATACCATGTTGGCAACATACTTTGAGGCATGCATCATTTGTGACAGTGATGCAATTTAACTAGGTTAACTAGGTTAAACCGACCCCTCATGGGAGATATGGACACATACATAATCTGTAATAGTGAAAAATGTGGGGATGCATCATATCTCATGTAAACCTTTGATTTATATTTTTTAAAAAATATGTGATTTATTGCTTAATTTACATGAACCCGTTACATTTGTGCGACACATCTACACATTGTACCCGACACACTACTGTGTCACGGCACACAGTTCAGAAAGGTCTGGTGTAAGGTGTATATGAAACATGAATATTTTTTTCTGTTTCCAAGATACCCATTATGTATTTGCAAGTACTCCAACATTTGAAAAAAAACCCTGAAATATGGAACAATTCTGTTCCCAATAATTTCAGATACAGCTAACCTATATTGTCTTCATCTGTGGCTGTCATTGGGATTGGGCTGTCTTTTCTCAGCTCCGATGAAGGTGAAGTTAAAAATGTCCTGATGAAAATACTGTTTGATGGTTTTGTCAGTAAGGTGTAATGAATGGAGAAAGGCCTTTTGATTTGCTAGGAAGCAGTAGTCCTCAGGCTTGATTGGATAAACAGACTACCTGTTTAAGAATAGATTGTGGGGAAGGAAAGATGGGCAAAAACTGGGAGTCAAACAAAGTACACACACACACACACATACACACATATATAGTTGTCTTCCTAGCCATTCAGTTGCAGATCTTAAGTTCAGGAGCTCAGCAGGTTTTCAATCTCAACTCCTCTGAGACTTAAAAGAGTAACAAGGAAGATGCTTGCCATTATTAGATTCTTTGTTTATTGATTTTCTTGACAAGATTTATTTAGAGAAGGTTTATCATAGCCTTCCTCTGAAGCTGAGGGAGTATGAATTGCCCATATGTTTCCATGGCTGAATGGAGATTTGAATTCTGGTCTGCTGGAATCCTGGTTGAACTCTCAAAGCATTACACCACATTGGTTTTCACTTTGCTTTAATTTCTGAAACCATGGTAGTATTCAGTTATGTGGCTTGTAAGATTTAGATGTGCATTTTATGTTCACATTGCCAGGGGTTTCTTGTATTAAACTTGCATATCTTTTGTCTTTTAAAATGTTGATCTTAAAGTCCCATTACTTCTCAACAAAATTTGTGGTGTGCAAGTTTGCTTCTTCTTGTGGTTTGAACCCATAGTGCACTGAAAGAGCACAGCATCCTTTTGTGTGTAGCA